CCTGCCTGATCGCTACCTCTTTAGTTTAATGGCTAGTAAACGAAGCGTCGTTCATCATCCATTCCTGCACAGGACATTTGGTAGCGCGGGTTTTCCTTGCCACTACTACCACCCTTCCTTCATTCTACCCTACCCCATTTCATCCCGCGTGATATGAAAAGAAGATACCAGACCTAAATGCTTGTGTTATTGATGCTGTGGGATGGAATACCAACGGCGAGTATACCACAACATTCGAATTCACTTTGCCTTCTAACTCCTTCCTGTAGTAATCTATGTAATGTACATCTCTACCTCACAATACTTCAGTGTTTAACAAAAGCTGCTAGCCTACTGAGAAATGCAAAGAAAATTGCACCCATCTGTCAATTTACGAACAGTGAAAACTGTTCGTGTGGTGAAAATCGATAATCGAAAATCGAAAATAATATTCAATTAATTTCAATGTAAAACATTCTAACTTTTATGTGATTCACAGAAAAATCACTCATTTCCCCTCCCTCATATATTGGAATATTACGAAATTATAAACATTATTACTGTTTTCTGATATTTCTTATCTATTTAACCCCATAAAGTTCTATAGAAATGTTAAATAAAGCTTTTACAATGTACAGCAGTTAGTGTAGGTACATTATAAACATCAGAACTTTACGTAATCAAAGAATAAATAATTTTGTTTATTAAACCGTAGTTACTGTACTGTAATAATCAGTTATAAGAAATTAATACAGTTTTATTTAATAATATTGAAATTAAGGTTTTAATTATGAAGGGGAATGCAATGTTTGCGCTGTGTATTATTTACTGTATCCCTCCGCGTTCGTTACCAACGAAACGGACGCTCTACAGTTTTACCAACATTTGTTCTTCGTTGCAGAGAAAATGCTCGTAAATTGAAAAATCTGTATAAATTTGCGTGGTTATTGTAGCGAAAATCCTTAAATCGGAAGTTCGGAAATCGAGGGATAGCTGTACGCTAAATATTTTTTTATAGAGAAGCATTTCAATTACAAAACCAGACGCTTGAAACTCCAGTGAGACCTCGTTCCTTTGGGCGTGGCGCACTTCAGATGTTACTGGCAGGCTTTCTAGTTAACGCACCTGCCACAGAGTTTCGCTGATGTCAAACTTCATGAAACAAAAACTTTAAAAGTGAATACGTACTCAGGTGGTCAAAATATTTGCTGGATATGGCTGTCTTATGGAATACTGTGCTGTGTAGTCATCAAAATACGGTGATAGCAAACCTCCGAAACGTCGATAAACGTCTACCGGCGCAGCATATCATAAGGCAGTCGTGTTCATATTTGCCGTTGTAATAACCTGAAATTTCACCAAAATATTTTTTTGCTTGTTACAATATTTACGAAAGATCTCCACTAGCTTGAGCCAGTTTAATCCAATCTGTTATTTCATTCCTTCTATTTTAAAATACGCCTCTGTATACTAATTTGTCTTATTTCCTGACGTTTTGTGAACAATATTCTGTACCTCTGTAATGCTTTCTACGTGTTTCTCCAGTACTCGTAACACTTTTTAACTTCATAGTTATAAATATTTAGAGAAGTAAAATTATATATGAATTACTATGAGATTTTAAATCTACTACAAAAAAAAACAACATTTATGTGTTATGTTAATTTATTTTTTAAATATTACTCTGCTAGGATTTCACAAAGAATCTAAGTGTATGAAAAGTTTGCGTGCACTTCGATATCATTTATTCGAATTATATTTTATTGATTGTTTCAGCTTCCATAATGCAAAGCCCAAATGGATTGCAGCCCCCCGTGAACACAATAAAGCTTGAAAACCCAGGATATTATTGCAGTAGCTACACTCCTCCTGCACCTGAACATACCTCCATGATGGCCTCAGGAGCTTACAGTAAGTACACCTGCACTGGCCTGCATTTAAAATCTGGAATATTGTCTCAGATGGTACAAGCGATGAAGAAAATTAATGAGGCAATACATTTTTTTTCTATGACGACTTTTTTATGATTTATAATAATTCGTTTTTTCCATCGGGTGGTGGTATACCAGCTGCCCAGAAATTAAAAAATTATATCGTTAAAGAATAAGATATTTTTAGTAACAATTTATAGGATATTTTAGTTAATTAGTCACTATTTAATTAATTAATCTTGTCCGTCTAATCACAATTTAAAATTTAAAATTACGATAGTTAAAATACCATGTGATGCTCCTTATCGAAACATTCGATTTACATTTGGAACATCACTTTCTCACTACATGTTTCGGTTCTTAGATGAACCATCTTCAGGTGTGTAAAAATTACAATTATATAAGATTTCAAATACGATAGTACTTCCAGACAGTCGGAACTCATCTACACCTCTCATCTCAGACTGATATAAAAAACATCAACAAAAACATTCACCAACCAAAAAGTTTATTTGAACACGACGCACATATGTAGAACAACTTCAATTTTTTTTTTAAATTTGTAGTTTAGATGCGTCATGTTTGTGTTGAAATTCAGTATATATTTATTTATTATTTCAGTCTATACAAAAACTTAATTTTTAAATGTTGTTGTTAAAATTAAAATTAAAAAGTTTTTGTATAGACTGAAATAATAAATAAATATATACTGAATTTCAACACAAACATGACGCATCTAAACTAGAAATTCAAAAAAAAAATTTGAAGTTGTTCTATATATGTGCGTCGTGTTCAAATAAACTTTTTGGTTGGTGAATGTTTTTGTTGATGTTTTTTATATCAGTCTGAGATGAGAGGTGTAGATGAGTTCCGACTGTCTGGAAGTACTATCGTATTTGAACTCTTATATAATTGTAATTTTTACACACCTGAAGATGGTTCATCTAAGAACCGAAACATGTAGTGAGAAAGTGATGTTCCAAATGTAAATCGAATGTTTCGATAAGGAGCATCACATGGTATTTTAACTATCGTAATTTTAAATTTTAAATTGTGATTAGACGGACAAGATTAATTAATTAAATATATATTTTCACAATATGACGCAACTCTATCATCTTAATTAGTCACATTAAATTACTCCTCAGCGTTTGTCTCATAGCCATCTGTAACCCTTCACTGACGTAATAAAATGTGGACTCAGTCGCTGAGTTACGCACAAACTTCGCGTCTGAAGTAAACTCACTTAACAAATCTATCCGGAGATAGGGATTAGCTCTATCTAATGTGCCCAACTGTATAGGAACCTGAAGACGGAGATAGAGTCCCATCTCCGAAACGTCGTTTTACGTTTTATTTTTTACTAGACGATGGATAATATCCAAGAAAATTTTTATTCAATTAAACTCACTTAGCTAGTGAGACAGATTCTTCTGCACCTGCCACAAAATGATTTAATTGATGCTTAGAAATTGGTTTTGCATTTCACGTAATTAATATTGAGAGAAGGACAATTTCTGTACAGGACATTTGATATTTTAACACTTCCTACTTGTTTTAACTTTGTAATTGTTGTTTATTTTAACCGTCTAATTACAATAAAATATTTAATTAATATTAAAATATTATTACTGTAATTAACATTTTATATTTAAAATATATTAAAATGATGCTCTTTCTATCGAAATGTTCGATTTACAATTAGAGCATCATCTTTTTCACGACATGTTTCGGTTTTCAAGGAACCATCTTCAGATGTATAAAAGATATAAATTTAAATGTAATATTCTAAATGCAATCCTTCGTCAGATGTCCATTAAATATCGGAAAGTTATCCTCTTCTAGATCAATTGTACTTTGTTATCACATTCAATGTATGTCGCGTATAGCGTGATCTTGCGTGGGTGAAATATTTGTAGTGGTTTTTTTATAATTGTTTTATCTTGTAAGAATTTGTTAAAAGATGGCGGTCTTCTGGGTTGTTACTTCGTGTAGTATAGTAGAAGTTTACCGACGTTTCAGAGGTCATCGGCCCTGATGAGACTTCAGCGAGAGGTCAAGATGTGATGAATATTCTGAAGTTGAATGATAATTTCTTAGGTCCGTTGTCACTGCCACGGAGTTCGCAAAGCCCAGGAGAACCCAGAAATAAACGTCTACGTCGTCTCAGTTCGACAGAAGAGGAAATGGATCTGGGAGCTGGTCGCGATAAAGGGGCAGGCGAAGTGGCTTACTATGGTCAAAGTCCAGCGTCCCTTTCCAGTCAGACCAGCTGGCATTCAGATGTTGACCATGGTGGGTTAGATATTCTAATCTTGTGTTTTAATCATAATTCTTGTTAGCGTCTGTGTACTTCGAATACTTTTTGCTTTGATTTGGTTTTAATTCGAGCATTTCCAGTCATGGTGCGTAGAATCTTTGTTCAGAGAATGTCATTTCTACTCGGGAGGAAAATAACTTTTGCCTTGCCGAGTTAATTTCCCCCATTTCCTTACCAGTGACTGAATTTGTCGAGCTTAAATATATTCGCACGCAAATGAGCACTACGAGCTCCGAGAACATTTTGTACAGTCTGACTGTTAAGAGGATGATTCGAAATTATGCTACTCATTGGAATTCATTTAAAATTTTGTCTTGATTAAGTAAATATTACTTTTGGATGTGGGGTCCAGATATTTATATGGTGTTCTGTGGATGAAAGATATTTCATAATCACTTTATCAAAGTAAATCAGAATCAGGGTTCCAAAGGTGAGTACAGTCCCAATTATTAGCAACTTTTGATAAAGTTTTAAAAATAATTTATTGTTTCTTTATCGTGATTGTTCCGTCATTTAAAGCGATATAATCCATTATTCCGGGGACCTTGGGAGTTAAGAGTTGAATTATTGTCCAGAATGAGCTATGTTATCAAATGACGTCGTGGGTGGAAGGAAAGATAACCAGTCAGTGAATTCACGAAGCATGAGAAGTCTTTGCTTTGTAGCGATTGTGAAAAGTTGCAGTCGAAACCTCTACTGGCGTAGCTTTTAAATGCCGATAAAATAGTCACACTGATATCCCTAACATAAAAAAATACATTTCCAGAGATCTGATTATACCCCCCCCCCCCCCCC